AAAGTCATGTATAGGGATTAATTCATGATAGGCCTGTATTAAACTACAAATCCAACACACTTGAGATACTAAGATTAGATTGGAAAAATTAAATTCATTCTAATCATGCACCGATCGCATCAACAAATTTGGGGGAGCAACACTATCAACAAATTGCATCAAAATTAAATCAAGTGCAATAATTAAATTTGGAGAAAACCTGGACTGTAAGTGCGAGATTTCGGGTACGGAGGCTGCTAGTTGTGGTCGTGCGACGGTAAGAAGGCCGCCCTTGATGTGCGATCGACTGAGATTTCGGGGATACGGGAAGAAAGCTCCGATTGACGGAGATTTCTGGTGCTAGTTCTTCCGATTTGGCCCTCGCGGTCGCTGCGTCTCACGATCGGGAAGGAGGCTTCTCCTTCAGATTTGATCCGCGATATTCGACGACAGCGCCTCGTCCTTTGGTGCTGCGATCTGTTTGTGATCGTGCGCCTGGTGATTGGGAAGGATGCTTCTCCTTCTAATTTGATACTGCGATGGGGAATGGTAGGGGAGAACGGAGGAAAAAAGAACAGGAGAGAGGGTGGCGGACGGAAAAAAAAATTAGGGTTGAGCTCGTGCTGATAACGTGTTGTGGGAGATGTATATTCTTTATTGATAATAGCTCCCTTATATAGGGAAAAACGGCCTAGGGTTTTACAAGAGAAGACCCACGGGCCAGTACAACTGTATTACACAATATAAAGTAAATTCTATCTACACAACAACACACTAATTTACAAATTCCTTCAACATTCTACATTTTTTCTTATAAAGAATACATGATTTGCAAAGTGGTGCATTTTCCAACATTTTTCGTAAAGTTTCATGAACCTTTTTTATAAAGTGGCATATATACTTTCTCCTTACCAGAATAACTTTTACCTAAAATAACCATTAATTTTGCAACCGAACCGGTTCCTGTGACATTGAACTCAATGTCATATTCGGGATTCTGTTCAAAAAATTGATAGTTCCTATCCATAACCTTCACTTACCTTCTCCGATCGGCGAAGTGGAGAGAGCCGGGAGGGCAGAGGGATTTGGAGGTAGGAACCATCAGTTTTTCTCTGGTCATGCTTTGACATTGAAACTCAATGTTACATGAACCGAGGTGTTTTGCAACATAGAGGTACTAGTACTCGAATTAGATTAGTAAAATTTGCACTAAACGGGACTAAAACATAAGTCATTTCCCAATGTAGGACTTAAACTTTTTTATTACATAAATAGTACTCCCTCCGTTCCTGAAAACCTTTCTCCTTTCTTTTTTCATCCGTCCCTAAAAACACTTCTCATTTCTATTAAAAAGTCACTTTTACCCCTTACTTTTTCATACCCTACCTATCACATCATACCTTTTTACTAATAATATATCCATCAAATCATATTTTTACCCATCGCATCAAAGAACATTTTTGGAAATTCATTACCAAAATACACTCTCCTTAAATTCCTCTTCAAAATCAAAACTCCCATGTTTTTCGGGACGGAGAGAGTACTTAATAATGTCTAGTAGGAAGAATAATGTATAGTGGTGATAGACATTTACTTGAATAATGACCAATGTCTAGTAGGAAGAATAATGTCTAGATATGGTCCTATATTGAGAAAGTCATTATGTTTTATTTTTATTCTAGATATGGTCCTATATTGAGAAAGTCATTATGTTTTACCGATTAAATTATAGGAACTTCTTAACGTCTATCTTCAAATTGCAGGATTGGCTAGAAGAAGCAAAGACTGGATTTGAGCAGTCCAAACTGTCCAATCAGTGCCAGCACCGGTCAGTAAGTGACTCTAAAATGAATAGAACAATATATTATTAAAATAAGATGAAGAAGATGAAACAAAGAACAACGTATAAAGTCTGAAGAGTTTCCATGAAAAAAATGCAGGTATAAGATATATGCAGAAGGATATGCTTGGTCTGTGAGCTTGAAATACATTCTTGCATGTGGTTGTGTTCCCCTCATAATAACGCCGCAGTATGAAGATTTCTTTAGCCGCGGTCTTATTCCCAAGAAGAATTATTGGCCAATCCCCCCCTTTGATCTATGCCCGTCTATCAAATCGGCCGTTGAGTGGGGTAACGAACATCCCGTAGAGGTATGCTACTTTTCATCCCTATGTAGAGAATGTTAAGGTGTAGACCCAAATTTGATTTTTGGCAATTAACAATTATGCTAAACATAGACCTCTGCAAGTATCACGCAGTGTTAATTGAATCTGACAGGCCGGTCCAACCGGCCAACCTGCGAACCAGAGGTATTCCAATCTGGTTCAACTATAAAATTCAATTTTCTATTAGCCTGTCCGAACTCGCCTGACTTGGCGGAATTGGCGAACCAGATAAAAAGAGTAAGAATTGAACTCAAGACCTTAGCCCATAACAATTGAACACTCTAACTACTTAAACTACTAAAGAACTTGTTACAAATGTTATGAAAAGCAATAAATATAGTTTCTATGATAAATGGATTGTGTAAATTTAAACAAAAAACTTATAACTATTTGTAAAAGTGAATATTTTGGTGTAGTGCACTTATATTATACTTTTGAATTTTTTTGACGTCATTTTATACTTTTAAAATCATTCAAGGTAAAAAAAATAAAGATTATTTATTTTTTATATTAAAATAATAATGAATACTTTATATCTAAAAAACATTATCATTTACAAAAATCAAGAAATATCTATTAATTATAATATAAATAGAAATAGAATTACAAAAAAAACATGAATTTATAAAATTATATTTGGCATTATTTATTTTTATCTAAAATTAAGTATAAATAGTTTATACCTAAAAATTTATACTTTTTTGAAAAAAGAGTATTGGTTTATTATTTAAGTATTTGTTAGACATTCACTATTACTTGTGACTTTTTATAATAAGAAAAATAATAGAATATACCAAAAATAATAGAATAAAATAGAAATTGTGAAATAGTATATGCACAATGAGTTTAAAAACTAGATGAAGAAGTAAAGAATAATTTTTTTTCAGGAAAGGGAAAAAACATAAGTTAAAATATTTTTATTAACTAAAAATATCTAATAATATAATATAAAACATTATTATTTTTAATATATTTGATTGGGTCGACCGGTTCGATTGATTAGCCCTTGACATTGTCATTTGTCTGGGCCGACGTTGAGTCCGGTTATCAGAACATTAGTATCAGGTGGAGACTCCACTATTTGCCAACAACTTACGATTAAAGTCCAGTTTACCTCCTTCAATGACTGTCTGGCCGGGTCTAAGGGGCCCTCGGGTATGGAACTCATCACTTATAAATTAGTAACTGCAAATTTGAACTTTTAGTTGAATTGATTCATTGACATTGCCATGGTATCACAGTCCAGTTGACCAAAAAGTCACGAGTTCGAATCTCACTGTCACCCAATATTTTTAAGAAATAAAATTTCAAGTGCAAGTTAAAGCTCGAAACGGTCATGTCTGCATGTGACTGAACGTATTAGGATATAAAATGGTTCTTGGGCGTACAACTACACGCTTCAATTTTTTATTGAGGTGGTTCATTGAGAGAGTGGTTAAAATTAAATTAGAAAATATATAAAAAACTATAAATCCTATATTCTTTTTCCAAATGAAAAATTAATTTTTATATTAAAAAAATACATGAAAAGAAATTTAGAAAATTTCGAGAGAGTGGTTGTTGGAAATTCGAGAGGGGTGACAACGCTGCATAATAACTTTAGAAACTTGATTGATTTAAAGAATCATGTTAAACATATTTTCAGAATTATTGACCATAAAGTCAACAAAAATTTGAATCGTGCAATTGGAGGGGTGTGGGGGTGCGTAAAGAATTGAAGGGGTTGGGTATGGACAACTTACCAGGGAGGGGGTATAAATCATCTTAAATAGAAGTAAAACATAGTGAAAGTACCAAAATAAGAACTTCATTATTTTTTTATCCAAAAAAGGAGTTCGCACCGTGGTAATGCACTGCATATAGATATTTGACAATACATTTTGGTAATGTACATGGTCATGATTTGACACTGTAACTGCATTTTAACTCCTATTTAGAAAATAAAGATATAGAACTACTATTTTGATATATTTTTAATATTTTACTTATAATACTTAATTCTTTTTCCCTATTTTTCAATAGGTGTCTTAAGCCACTACATTTATTTCCATGGATACTAACACTATGTTTGGTTCAAGGATTTTGGAAGGAAAAGAAAAGAAAACGATTTTCTCTCATTTTCCTCACCAAAATTGGAGAAATTTGGTTTTCCCTCCACTTAGTACATTTATCTTCTCATTTTCTTTTCGTTCCACTTTTCTTCTTCAACCAAACATGAAAAACTATTTTGCACTTCATTTTCTTTTCTCTTTCAAATTCTTTGAACCAAACATAGTGTAAATGGTACTGTGGTCCATAACTTTTAGAATGCAAGATTAGTGTGATATTATCTGTTTTGGACAAAACACTCCTAAATTTATTTCTAAACACTTCACAAAATAAAATTAGGGATTAAATCCTTTCATTTTGGTTGAATTTTTCTTCTAATTCTATACTGCAGGCGGGAGAAATAGGGAAAGCAGCACAAGAGTTGATGGAATCTCTAAGCATGGACAGGGTGTACGACTACATGTATCACCTGATCAATGAGTACGCGAAGCTTCAAGATTTCGTTCCGGTGCCGCCGCCGCCGGCCCAAGAGATGTGCGTGGACTCCGTGCTTTGCTTCGCCGATCAAAAACAGAGGGATTTCCTGCGGCGGACAATCGCCTTCCCTTCCCCGTCGCCGCCCTGCTCTCTCCCCCCTCCGGACATGAACCTCATCAACATGAATATGGAAATGAGAGGAAAGTTTGATAATGCAAATAACAACAAGAATAATAATTAGAGATTTCAGGGTAGTTTAGCAAATTTTTTTTTGTAAATGAAGTTAGTTTTGAGATTGTAATTAAGAAGGAAAAAAAGAATACTTGCAATCATTTTTGTTGTTGTAGTTTAATTTGGTAGCTTTTTTGGTAACGGCAGTTGTCTAAACATTAACCATTTTTTGCAATCAAATAGAAAAAATATATTTGGGTGTGAAAGGTATATTCCATACATAGGCCGGTTCCAATACCAGTCGTGAAGGAACAAGTCAAGTATTGACCGGTCAAATATAAAATAACCCGTAATCTCGCTCGGAGGCAAAAAAAGATGATAGGTCTCTTACCCTACCAAACTGATCGGTCACATGCGGCTGAACCAATTTTGGGAGTCATCATTAAACAAGTAAGTATAATTGACTTTAAAGTCAAAAGTTTTGACTTTATATTTATGGGTACAATTGACGTAGGTGGGGTAATTAGTTTGGATCGAGACTTGGCGGGGGGTTTACTGGGGGAGTTAGAGGGGGTAGGAATCATCAATTTTATGAACGGAACTCCGTAGGGGGCAATGGCTTCCGTGGCCACTGGAATCCAGTGGCCATGGAACCGGGCTCCTAAAAGTATGGTCAGAGCAACATCGGCATATACTCCCTCCGTTCCACAAAATACTTCCGTTTTAATTTTTTGTGCAAACCATAAAATATTTCTATCCCACTTAAAATGTCTAAAATACCCCTAAAACAACTTCTACCCGCAATAAACTACATAGTGGGGTATATTTTAGATATTTTAAGTGGAAGTAAAAGCGTTTAATGAGGTGCGCAAAAATTTAGGGCGGAAGAGTTTTAAAGAACGGATGGAGTATATATCAAGGTGTGTAGGACTACGACCCCTAAACCCTAGTAGTTTTGTGATCTGCATGGAGACCCACCCCTCTCATTCAAAAGTTTAGGGTAGGAAAGTTCTTTGATTCCATTTTGAAAAATGCTAGGGGTGTACCCCATTTGTCTCTCACCTCCTCCATTACCACAAAAATAGGTAAGAGAGTAATAAAAAATTAAATAAGTAAAAATGAGGTAGAAATAAGTGGTGGAGAAAGGGGTGAGGGACAAATGGAGTACACCAAATTGTTCTCCATTTTAGATTTGTAGTCAATCAATGTTAGTCTGATTGTACAGTGATGTTGTGTTGTCACTTGTCCATAAGTGAGTAGGTTTCATGCACCTACTAGGTTTTCTTCTGCTCTATTAACAGTTTGTGATATAGAGAACGAGAAAAATATTTATTTCTACTTTTGCAAATTGAATAAACTCTTGAAATAGAGTAAGAAATATATTTGCACATAGATTCCAAAACAAATTGTTTCAAAAGTAGCGAGGCTATTTTCTAAACAAATCATTTCAAATATTAAAATCATTTCATTAATCAAGAATCATTCCATTCAAACCCAGATAATGAGATAAACTACCAAATGAGTCCTTAATTTTAGAGTAAATTCTCAAAATGGTCATTTCTAATGAGGTATTTTCTCAAATTAGTTCTCAATAAACAACAATTATCAATTAGATCCTTTGTAATTTAAATGTAGGGATATGCTAGGGGTACACCAAAGGTGTACCCCAAATGTACACCACCCCTCTCTTTACCATTCATTTTAATTTTTTTTAATTTTTATTTTTTTTGAATTTTTTCTGCTTTTTTTTGTGGTGATAGAGGGGGTGGGGGATGTTTGGGTACACTTTTAATGTATCCCTAGCATTTTCCTTAAATGTATTCCCTGAATAGTTCTTTGTCAAAGTTGTCAATTAAATGTCAATCAAATGCAAGATATTTTTGTACTTTTATCATCTAGACCTAAATTATATATGTTCTCAAAATGCTCATTTATAATTAAGTAAATTTCCAAATCGATAATTTCTAAAGAAATATTTTGCCGAATGGAGTCTATGAGCCTATTCGGGGTGAGTTTGTTCCTCTAGCACCTACCCACTTAATTTGAAAGAACCTTTTTGAGAATTAATTCATAATTTAGAAGATGAAAAATACCAAAATAACCTTCATATAACTGTCATTTAATAAACATTTTTGACATAAGAGTATTTAGAAAATATATCTGAATTACAAAAAATGACTTTAATAATTATTAATTATTGAAGACTAATTTCAAAATTACTTTTATTAGAAAGAATGATTTTAAAAATTCACTCTTAGTTTTATTAAAAATAAAATCTTCTTTATCATCACTACCTCAATCTATCTTTCTCAATTCTCACTCTCCCTTTTCTCCCATCCACTCCCACCAAACTTCCCATACAAGTGTTTAATGCATCATCCGGATATGTCCGTCCCCTTATATACTTCTCTCGCCTTTATCTCTTCCTACTGACACGGTAGGAACACGCACCCTCCAAAAAAACTGTCTGGAATCTGTCTGTTTATAGCAGCAGAAAGTGTATGAAAAAATATCGCAGATAATTCGGATTCATCTTCCCCGAGAGATCTGGAAGTGAGATTTGGGGGGGGGGGGGATGGGGAGTTACAGAGTGTGCATTTGTTTCACGAGGAAGTTTAGGGTAAAGGAGGCGGAGCCGCCGGCTGACGTGAAGGAGGCGTTCAGGAAGTATGCGGAGGAAGGGGCCCACATGAGCTCCGAGCAGCTGCGGCGGTTCCTGGCGGAGATGCAGGGAGAGTCGGAGGCCACAGCCGCCGATGCCGAGGAAATCGTCCAGAAAATCCTCAGCAAACGCCATCCGTTCTCCAAGCTAACCCGCCGCACTCTCACCCTCGACGATTTTCACCATTTCCTCTTCAACGTTGAACTTAATCCCCCTTTCATCTCTAAGGTATCGTGTCATTTCTCTTGCGTTGACCAGTTGTAGAATTTGGATTGCCAATCATTTCGAGCATTGTTTTCCCAAATCTGTCGATAGCTTTACCAATTTTCTCTTTCGGGAAGTTATGAATGTGAAGCATTTACAGCTTGCTTCATTGAATTAAGTAAAGTGCTATAATGGATTCCTTGATCTGGAAACACATGGACAGAGGATCAAATATGCTTAGCCCCAGATTTGCTTATTTGGACAGTATCTAACTGGGAAAAGTTCTTTCCACTGTCTCATTTTCTGGAATCCTAAAGTAGTAAATAACCCAATTTTTTTGTTTAACTTTTCAAAAATAAAAAATAAAAATCCTTTGAGGAACTGGGGGATTTATTATTCTCCATCCGCACTGATTTAGTTGTAAGATTTCCAAAATACCTCAAATTTAAGAAATGAGGTTAAACTAACAAAAAATAAGCTCTTAAATTTACTTTGTCCTGCATTGATGATAACAATGCTAATATGCTCTCTAGGAGTGTTTTTGGTAATTTACAATATTTGCTCTTCACTAAATATCGTAAACGGACTATTAATTCAGTAATTCTTGACCCCAAACTACATTGGACTATTTCTTATTATCGAAGACTTCCAAACTTGGGTGTAATGCAAAACAAGAAATCACTTACTATATATTCACAGGGCTTTTAAGATGTAGTGCTTCCTTTTCTTAATGCTAACTTTTTCATTTTGTTACTATTTCAGGTTCATCAGGACATGAATGCTCCCTTATCCCATTACTATATATTCACGGGGCATAATTCATACTTGAAAGGAAATCAACTCACTAGTGATTGCAGTGTTATTCCGATAATCAATGCACTGAAAAGAGGTGTAAGGGTCATTGAACTTGATATATGGCCTAACTCGGCAAAGGATGATGTGATTGTTTATCATGGAAGGTTGACAATTTCTGTCTATTATTTTGTGTTTTGTATGCTATTGTTTGTTCAATTGCCATGGTTAGCTGTTACCCTACTGGTTTTATTTATCCACTCTCATATTGACACTTTCTTTCCTTTTTCTGAGTTTCCTAAACCAGATTCTCCCTATTTTTTCCCATTTTCTTTTAGAGAAAGAGTTGTGTTGTTATATTGATTCCCTTCTTTCTAGATTAACTGCAACCCCACATTTTCAATTTCTTAATTAGTAAATCTTCCTTATCTCTCATTCTCACTTTTCTGCTACCAGCACCTATCACCTATTNTGAAAATCATGGATCGTGCAATATGTTGTCTATGTAGCTCAGCATGGAATCTGAAGCCCTAGATATAGGGGCATTGTCTTGTAACTAATGGTTTGTTTGGATGAGGAGAGAAAATAGGAGGAAAGAAAATGGTGATAAAATGGAGAGAAGAAGTTTAGTGTTTGGATTGATAGAGTGAGAAAAGATGAAAAGAAAAAGAGAAGGAATGTTTTTTCATCCATTTTCTCATCATCTATGGTGAGATATTTTTCACATGATCCCATCTTTTATTTTTGCTCCTCCATCCATTTTCTCACATATCCAAACCAGTGAATTTGCATTGGTTTTTGTGTTTTCTCACCTAACATTATTTTTTTTCTCACTATATTCTCACCATCCAAACATAGTGTAATTGTAAATGATGAGGTTTTCAAATATACAAGGCTCAAAATCATAAATCTGTGTATAGAGGTCCTCAGATCCCAATTCCCAAATACACAAAATCTTATGAGTTGAATTATACGGTAGGTGCTTAGCTTGGTGACATTAGACATTTTATTTTCTAATTTCTCAAGTTTCTGCACTCCCTATGACATCTAAGCCTGCACATTTCTGAATGCAGGACAGCGACAACCCCTGTAGAACTCATAAGTTGTCTCAAGTCAATAAAGGAAAATGCATTTGTTGCATCTCCCTACCCAGTTGTAATAACACTGGAAGATCACCTTAATACTGCTCTTCAAGCTAAAGTAGCTGATGTGAGTTGCTACTTACAAAGTTACAATCACAAAATTTCCATTTCTTTCTGTTTTAATGATAAGTTGATTTTTCTTTTTGTTTTGGAACCAATAAGGTGATGGAAGATATCTTTTTTCGAATTTACTATGGGTGCAGATAGTAGATATATAAACAAAGCTTTAAGTTGGTATTAACATGTATAAGTACTTGTGACACGACTCCTTATGAATCTATATCTGTAGATGATTACACAAACATTTGAAGATATGCTCTACACTACCAAATCAGAATGTTTGAAGGAGCTCCCTTCACCTGAGGAACTTAAACATCGTATTATCATTTCAACAAAACCTCCGAAGGAATACCTTGAATCTAAGTCTATCAAAGAAAGACCGGATGGCTCACTTAGTAGAAAGGATTCTGATGATGATACCTGGGGTGCTGAGCCATCCACGTTAACAGCCAATCAAGAAGACAGCAAGGTGAACCCTTTTCCTTTGTCTCAATTAGTTTCTTCTATCCATCTCCTGTTGAATTCATGATGCCCCTTCTTAGCAGAGTGAAGTTAATACAAGCAAGCACAATCAAGATTGTGAGGATGATGAGTCTGGTGATGACTCTGATCAGAAAGGAAATGCCTACAAGAACTTGATTGCTATACATGCTGGGAAGCCCAAAGGAGGGTTAACTGAGGCATTGAAAGTGGAACCTGATAAAGTGAGACGCCTCAGTCTAAGCGAGCAAGCTCTTGAAAAGGCTGCTGAATCTCATGGAACTGATATTGTCAGGTATATTTCAATATATCAAATTCCTATGTCTTAGACTAAAAAAAGAGATGCAACATGAGAACGAGCTTTTTAGGTCCTATAAATTGACGTATACTACTTTTTGGCCTTCACTCTAATGGATGTGCATCTCTTGTCAGGTTTACGCAGAGAAATATTCTTAGGGTATATCCTAAAGGTACTAGGTTTAACTCCTCCAATTATAAACCTCTAATTGGATGGATGCATGGTGCTCAGATGGTTGCATTTAATATGCAGGTAGGCTATTTGATTTAGATTAATGCCATCCTCTTTAATTCTTTACTTGTTTCTAAAATTGTATGTGCTCCTTGTATCATATAAATACAAGTCTATGTTGTCTGACTCATTTTTAGTATTCTCATTATAGACTTTATTCTCATTATTCAATAAAGGATAGTGTATTACTTGTGCAATGGCAGGGATACGGCCGGTCCCTTTGGTTAATGCAAGGGATGTTCAGATCGAATGGAGGGTGTGGTTATGTCAAGAAGCCAGATTTCCTTGTGAAGGGGGGTTTTGACCCCAAGGAAAAACTGGCTCCAAAGAAAACCTTAAAAGTAAGTGAACCATGAGATAATCTGTAGTTTGTTTTTATACAAATCGATCTATCTTATTGACACTAATAACATGTTATAGGTGAAAGTATATATGGGAGATGGATGGCACTTGGACTTTGGACAAACTCACTTTGATTCATACTCTCCCCCAGACTTCTATACCAAGGTAAGCTGATAGTTCATCCACAGCATTTTCATGTTAGGGTGTGTTTGTAAACCGGAAAATGAAAGGTATACAATAGTAAGTGAAATTTATAAAATAAAAAAAACAATCATTTTTTGTTTTCCCTTGCATTTTCAAAGGTAAAAAATCAAAGAAACGAACTTCCGCTGGCACTAATGTTCCCCTGCCCATCATTTTCTGGCGTCCAAACACACCCTATGCGATCAACAATAGTTTCAACTTGTTATGTTTGAGACACATAAAAAAAGAGAATTGAACAAAGATTCATGAACTGTGGTATGAGTGTATGACAGGTTGGGATTGCTGGAGTGCCTGCTGATGAAGTGATGAAGAAAACAAAGAAAAAGGAGGACAACTGGACGCCTGTTTGGGAAGAAGAGTTTACTTTCCCATTGACAGTACCTGAGCTAGCCTTGCTGCGAGTTGAAGTGCACGAATATGACATGTCCGAGAAGGACGATTTTGGAGGCCAAACATGCCTTCCGGTCTCGGAATTGAGACCAGGCATTCATGCAGTTCGCCTCCGTGATCGCAAAGGAGACAGCTACAATTCAGTAAGGCTCTTGATGCGCTTCGAGTTTGTTTAAGTGTGTGTGTGTGTGTTTTGTACTCTGTTTTCGTAGTGCAGTGTGTGTATTCTTTTCCACTGTATATTCCTCGGCTTTTCGTGAGAGTGATGTGTTTGCGCGCGCTTGCATGTAAAATTTGAAAGAACCCAGGAATTTGGGAAACAGAAACTGAACAACTGTTTGTTTGTTCTTATTTGAATACCACAACACTTCTTTTTAAAACACTATAGTATCCCTCTATTGTTAGACTACTTCCAACGCAGGCCCGTCCACCCCGTTCATAGCCGACGTGGCCTGCGTCCACCTGAGATGCGGTGATGTTGGAGTCGTTTGTCCTTCTCAACTGTCCCTCTCGTCCGTCCTCACGGATTCGTCCCGGGATGAGTTTTTTAAATCTGACTCTTTCAAATTAAGAGCGAGCCGCAAGAGTGATTCGGACGACCGGCAATGACTCCATGGGCGGCGGGGAAAGCAATTGAAGCGGTCGCTGCTTCTTCCCGGTTCCTTCCCATCGGCGGGGGTGACAGCAATTGAACGACCGCCCCCACTTTCTTTCCCTTTTCTTTTTTTTTATGTCAAAATAATTTTTTTGTCCTTTTTAAAGACTTAATTGGCTTCAAAGTTTTCATTTCCAATTTATAATTCAAATATTTTTAAAAATACACCATCCAATTTTTATTATTTATTTTTTATAAAAAAATCATTTGTTATACTCTGAATTTATAAAAATAAATAAGTAATGATGATGTAAATTTAAAGAGAGTGCATGTGGGAAGGATGTATATGGTAGTGTTGAGGGTAAAAATTGTTTGTGGGAATGATGAATAAAAAGCTAATGTGGCATGCTGAGTAGGCGTGCATGTGGGAAGGCGAGCTATTAGCGTTGTGGGTAGTTTTTGTGAGGTTTTAGTTGACGATGAAATAGGGCATCCGCTAAATGTGACGTTCTTGTGCCGCTACAATGCAGAAAAGTAAGACAAATCACTCTCGTTCTACAAAAATGTTCTACCTTTGACTTGGTAATATAGTATATCCACTACCTTTGTCTCCTATGTGGCGTCTTATGCAATAATAAACTGACTCTCGCCTAGAGAGTGTAGCTCAGCTAGTCGAGAGGATAGTGCTACTGAGGATAAAGTCGAGTTCGAATATTGACAACAATAAAGAGTGAGCATGCTATGCATGTATTTTTGCACGTACCAGAGACATTCTCATTCTCAATTAGGACGGTGTATCCATAATACTCTGACACTTTGAGTAAGGCGCCCCTTCCACCCTAATTGTGGATGCAATGGAATTCCACCATTAGAGGTAGAGTCTTTATTATAAAAATTTAAAATAGGTTGTTTGTATTGAATTTTATAAAGTATGTATTCCTTTGAATTGCCTAAATCATATCAAGTGCTCATTTGGCCACCACTCAAAGTATGTATTCCTTTGAATTGCATAAAATAGGTTGTTTGTATTGAATTTTATAAAGTATGTATTCCTTTGAATTGCAACAATGTTATTTAATGAGAGTTCTTACACTAAATGAAGTACATTTGAAATTTTGAGTACTCTATTAATTTTACACATTTATTTCTTTGCATATATTTAGAGCGTACATATTATAAAATTGATATATGCATATTTTATAATTGTACTGTGCTCATTTTGTTGCTATTAAAACTTTCAAGTCATTAAAAAAATAAAACTGAAATCTTAGAAAAGAAATTACAAAATATATACACATATTTTTGGTATATTCTTAAAGCTCACATATTATAAAATTAATGTATGTACATTTATAATTTACGAGTTACGAGTACGTAATAGTCATTTGGATACATCCAAATTACAATGTACGTGGTACTTTGTAATATACAGAGTACAATCTAATGGTATCATATAGTTTTAGCATTTTTATAATAATTTGTACAATTAGGTTTAATTCAAAATGCTAGCCTAATATATAAAAAAAATCTCTAGTTTTTTTTTTAAAAAACTCGAATAACCTTAACTTCATTGCTAGACTAACCAAGAATCTAAAAACGTGGGGACACACCAAAAACTTTACAATGAAGAACCACTTATAACTCTTAGGAAGGTATAAAGAGTATGTAAAATGTCATATGTATGTTAAGCTCAACTAAAGCATGACAAAGTAGCACAAGTAGACAGACTAACATAACAACCATCGAAGTTTAAGTTTTTACACAAAACACACTGCTCAAAACAAATAGTAACACACAAAACCATTTTGCAAGTTTGGCTTTTTTTTCCGATCATCTTTTCTTGAAACCATATTTTTTACGCTCGTAGAAAAGATCCGTCTTGGCACTCCCAAGATTGACTATTTTGGGGCAGCCGTCGCGATCCTTCTCCTGCTGTGTACATTCTTTGCAGTAGTACGCATCCGAAATTCCAAGCCCTCCACATATGACACATCTGCCCTGGAAAGATCCATAGTTGCATTCGTCGCAGACCCGGACGAGCGTGCAAGGCCTCACATAAGAATCACAGATCACACACTTTCCATCACATTTCTCACAAAGGCGTCCAATGGCAATTCCCGGCTGCTTCCTGCACATTATCAGATCTGGGTGGTGCTTGGCCATATTTTGATGGCAAACTGCAGGTGAATAAAACAGCAAGATTTAAGTATGCCTATTAAAAACACATCCTAAGCATCAATACAGAAGAGAAGGAGAAATAGCATTTCAGGATTTTCAAAACAAAAGTGAAAATCAAGAGAATCAATGTCAGCTGGATGCATATTCATGATCATCATAATATCGGCATCAAAATAATCCAAAGTTCCCAAATCCCAACTATGTTGAGGTTGGTGGAATGGTATTTATATTGTCAATTAATAGTTTAAAGTCAGTAAACATGGGTTCAATTTTATACAAACACAGTGGTAAGGTTTCTTGTGGCAACCTTAAGATGGAAGAAATATCAAACTCGAGAGAATGGTCTTCGAGACAAGATGTATGGAGACCTTACTTCTAATCCAAAGAGTATGGAGGCTATTTGCCAATTTCCATGAGGAAATCCGCCAAGTATGACCCATACACTGTTTGGTTCAAGGGATTTGGAAGGAAAACAAAAAGAAAATGGTAAACAAAAGTAATTTTGGTGTTTAATTAGAATGGAATTACGGAAAAGAAAATTGGAAAGCAAAGAAAAAGCAAGGAAAATGTAAGGTAAAAGTGGAAACAAGATTTTCCTTTCATTTTTGTGAGGAAAAAGAAGAGAAAACATCAAACTTCTCCCTTCCCCTTCCCCTTTCCCCACCCTCTCATCCCCTCTCCCTTGTATCCCCCCCACCCCCTGCCCTCTCCGCCCCCACTCCCCCCCCTCTCGTCTTCATTTTCTCTTTAACAATGAAACAAAGAGTTCTTGATAAAAAAATTCTTCATCAATTTCTCTACTAACCAAACAGGTAAACAATATTAAGATTTTTGGTTTATTTAAAGTTATTTCTTAGCATTTTCATTTCCTTCCTTGTTCCTCAAACCAATCATAGTGGTAGTGTAAGCAATGAATAAAATTCACCCACATACACCTACCCTTCGCAGATACAATACTCAGACATGGACCCTATACAACTAATACAGTCTCCACGAACTACTGAACATAAAAAAAACTTATTCCTTCAATGGAGGCAAAGCAAAACCCGCGAAAACAATTATCCATCCATCTGTTATTTGAGCAATAAACCTAATCCATTAGCCTCCAACCAAAATCGATGATGAGACTTTGAGATAATCTCAGAAGCTTGAATATATAGAAGAAAAGGGAATAAAACCTAAATCAAACCCTGTAGATCTTCGAGTTCAGCCAAAGTCGATGAAATCGATGTGAAATTGCTAAAAAAACATCACAAAAGCTCCATACATTGGCATCGATTCAGTGTGTAAAATGTTTACCTGAAAATCGTGGCGAATTCCGCTGGTTTGAAGCAAAAAATCTACGGCGGAAGGATTCTTTTTCTTAAAGACGGTGGACGGAGTAGGTGTTTTTTACTGTAATGAGAAGTTATTACTCCCCAGACGGCCAGACCCGACCACGGTCCGGACCCGGTCCACCTGACTGCAAAATAACGCGCTTGAACTCCATATTTTAGGATACAAGTCGGGCTTGAAACTTATAAATGACAGTCCTTATACTTTTGGACCAAGCTTGTGTTTTATGCTCTAACCCATGGGTCGAACCGATTCCAATGAATAATAGTAATATTTATTATTATCATAGGTATCTCAAAGTATATGGCAACAATACTATTTCAAATTGGTATAAGGGGAAATTATTATAAACAGAATTTTTTAATCCCACAAAACTTTTCTCCTTTTTCATCTCTCTCAAAAAAATCTTTCTCATTTCTATTGAAAAGTAACTTTTAGTCCTATAAATTCTTAATCTACCTATCGCATCATACTTTTCATTATTAATTTACCCATCACATCTTATTTTTATCCATCACATCCAATGACATTTTTGGAAAGTCAATACCAAAATAAGCCCCCCTTAAATCATTTAAAAGTCAAAACCAGACAGGTTTGTGGGACGAAGAGAGTATGTTTTAGTACTATTTAGTGCAATTTTCACTTATTATAAACACACATACATAATTCAATTGAGAAAAAAGAAGTAAATTATAAGCATATTTAATAAAATGAATGCATCTATATTACACTTTATTATTTACTCTCTGTATCACATTGATAATGATATTCAAATAAATAACACTTCGTACTCCATAGTAATAATATCAAACAAAACACATTTTATACATTAGTCGTTCTCTATTTGATGTAGTTATATAGTTATTTTATCTAATATATTAATGCATTAATTTATTTTATTATTTAGAAGTTGTTGCTATGTAGATCGGTCGCCCCAAAACCCGCGAGTACCCATGCAGGCTAGGCTCGGGCTTTAATTGTTAGGCCCGCGATACGGGCCAAGTCGAGCTCAAACCTAGAAAATTCTTATAATGTTGAATCTCGGCTTAGTCTAAAACTCGATCTGACCTGCACTTTGATCAGGTTTACTCACAGTCTCCCTTCAGACTCCAAAAACAACTTTACCCAATTTTTGTAGGCAAAATCTTTTGTGATCGTTAGGTTTATGTTCTTTAAAATTTCAATATATAAAATAAGTATATATATAATTTATTGGGTCTTGTAAAAAATAGATCCAACCATGGACACATAGAAAATATGTGAGAAGGTCTATAGTTTATATACGGACCCTAGGTCCACAATAGCACTTTTTTTTGTAAACTAAGATCTTGTTTTCTTGTAGTATGCAAATTAGAAGTCTTTAGGTATATACTCATTTATGGAGTTTATTGTATGAACAGGTTAAATGTATTGAGTCTTATAACAAGAAGGAGATCTAATTTGTGAGTGTATGAAATATATGTGAGAAGGTCCACATATCACATGCGAACCTTAAAACCACTATGTCACAATGACATATTTCCTTCTCACAATACTTTTATACGAAGTATGAAATGAGATTTAAAATGTCAAATAATACCAAAAACCTATTATAAAGAAAGCAATACCAAAAACCTATGGAAGCATGTTGGTGTAATGGCAAGGAAGCCATCCCAAACTTCTCCACATCTAATGCTCGAGACCCACTCGACACATAAGAGATCAAAATTAGTTCGATGATGTTGGGTAACCACGCAAGGATAGCACATCGGATTTTTTTATATCCAATCGTCGTTACCACCCAAGATCTTCTTACAAAAACTATAAATTATTGTTAAAAATAATACCTTTTCTTGTAGAAAACAGATCAGACGGTGTAGGTGAAGGGATTGGTGCAACGAATATAGCCACAAAATATCCAACCTCTAGTGCGCCCACACGAACAACGAACAGCGTTCTAAGAAGAACTTATGCTAATAAGATCTTCTTAAAATATTACAAGAATATAGAAATATTAATGGGAATGATGAAGAAAATATTAATATATTTTCTCCTATATGTTTTGCCCCTTCCTTCTCTTTTTCAATCGAAAAACACCCCAAAGAAAAGATACGTGAGATCTGCTTATATTGAAGAAATGTACTGAAAAGGAGACTCTTTAATAGTTACTTAGTTAGATCAAATAACTACTTAAAGAGTCAGAAGTAGAATCAAATTCTTACTTTTCTCCCTTTCTCATATTTTCAGCCATGTGCACATAAAATATAACAATTTATTTTGTCAACTTTAATTATCATATAATTAGACAAAATAAAAATTAAATATATATTTAACAATTCGGTAATCATATTACTATGTGTACACACACACACACAATTTCACACATAATACTTGACAAACTTAATTATTACATAGTTAAAATGTCAACATATTTATTTAATATGTACGTCACATGGCCCATATTATTTTATATCATTCTCATTTAATATTCTACATCGTGCAATTGTTATATATGTGTGACCCTTCTAAGTATTCAAAATGATGACAATAATATTAATCACAATTAATATTATAAATGATAAGCGGTATCTAGCAACACATTATCGCTACCTATGTTATAAACATAAAGTTTATTGCAACAATATCTCTAACGACAAATATCATTTGTATAACTCTTATCCCTTTATCACTAATGTCTAGATTTAACACAAGGTATGAGAAGTGTAACCTTGTTAGAGTTAAATCATTGGTTTACTAACTCTAAGATTGACTTGTGGGATTCAAATAACATTAATATCAAATATATTAATTTATCTGGGTATAGTCATACAATTCCCAAGTCACATCAATCAGTGGGCCCGAAGACATTACACTTCATCACAATAGAAGGGATAAATTCTTTCTACGTCATTCACGCCTTTACATATGTTTAACTATATACCCAAAACATAATTGTACTGAAAGGTAACCATGGAAGGATAGGCAGCGGAATATAAAAATTTTAACATTCTAACATGATTATCTTGCCCAGAATCACGTACTAAAACTTATAGTAGTAAGAAATTTGTACCTTTCTTCGTAAGCGGTAAAAACGAAGAAGTCGTAGGAAGAGCATTGAAAGTGCAAACGTAACCGTTCAAGCGTCCGGTCTCCAACTTTGACACACGAACAACGCCGGAGTCTACCACAATCTTTATGCTAGTAAAGATTACAGTAGTATAAAATATAAAGATTAAAATTGGGATAATAATAATCTTGTAACGCCCCAAAATATACCCTAGAATTATTAATGAATAAATAATCAATTAATCAAATTTGTTTTGATTAAAATAAATTATTGTTGGGCTTTGGGCCGATACGAAATTTGTTTTGACATCTAATATCAAAATCTGGATAAGTTTCATAGAGATAAATCCAATATGTGGACTATTTGTGTGGTCTTGATTGGGAACCTGAGTACAGACCCAAATCAAGAGTAAATAAAGAATTTGTTTAGAATGTAAATATTGAATTGATTTGTTGAAATAAATCATTAGAATAATTGATATGAATTAAATGAGAGAACCTTTTATGAGAAAGGTCAATTAAACAAATTTTGACTCTGTTAAGGTCAAACACCCAAAAATATGATGTCGGAAAAAGTATTACAAATAAATATAAAAATTATATCGTTAGATAGAGTTTAACTGCCCGATCGCAACGGTGCAAACGAAATTCAATTCGGAGAAAGTTGGACCAAAAAGTGTACCCCAACTCGAACCAAAATTGGTCCCAATCAGGGACACTGTGCGAACGGCGCCTCCCAGCGCACTAAGCCGATTGTGAATCTTCCTACGCTCAGCAACCAGTGTCTTCTTCTTCCTCAAATATACTACTCCCTCCGTCCCATGAAACATGGGATGTTTTGCTTTTTGAAGAGATTTAAGGGAGTGTATTTTGGTATTGAATTTCCAAAAATGTCCTTTGATGTGATGGGTAAAAGTAGGATTTGATGGGTAAATTATTAGTAAAAAGGTATGATGTGATAGGTAGGATATGAAAAAGTAAGGGGCAAAAGTGACTTTTTAATAGAAATGAGAAATATTTTATGGGACGAATGAAAAAAGAAAGGAGAAATGTTTTATGGGACGGAGGGAGTATATAAAGGGAGGCTGAGCATTCTCAATTCTTCACCAAAACCTATACTTCCTTGTTCTATTCTGTTGCTCAAAGTAAGGAGAACGCAGTGGTGCTGTCAATTTGGTGAGAGGTCGCCGGAGCAAGACGTGGTGTTCGCCGGAAGTTTCGCCGGAAAATTCTCAAAACCTTCGATAAGCTTCGAGGTAAGCCCGTAGATATATCTAGTGACTAGAATGTTCGTATAGATCGTTTCTACGTTCATAAACGGTCGTTTGGTTGAGTTTTGTGTTTGACATGTTTGAAGAACCAAGAATCATAAACCAAGAAATTGTTGTTAAAATTACGAATTAATGACTCTAAAATGATCTATGAACATTGGAGAACATTTCTATATAATTTAATTGAAGTTTGGTGATTAAAAATGATAATACTCGAAACTGACCAGAGGAAGATGATGATGAACAGTAGCCAAAAATCGATTATTTATTCCTAAGAATCGATTAGAACTTTGTTCAGATGAGGGTGCTCGAAGTCAGAAAAACATAATCGATTATTTATAATTTATAAATCGATTTTAGTTAATTAATCGATTATTTATAAATTATAAATCGATTTTAGTTAAATAATCGATTATTTATAAATTAAAAATCGATTTTTATTATTAATCGATTATCATTCATTAAATAATCGATTTTCCCACATTTTATATATATAGATTATTTTATATTAAATCAACTTCAATTCGAGTTACTGCTTCGAAAAAAAATACTTCTCAAATTATGCTCTAAAATCCTACTTTTGATACCAACTAATTATAGACAATATAAATATGATTTTGTATAATAAAAATGATGTTTTAGGCATATAAAACATTATGTGATGCATAACGGTAAGTTAGAGTGTTAACACTCAAAACTAGACCGCTATTTGTTATCAATTGTTATGTTGA